TAACATAGAAGAGGGAAATTTGAGAACTCCATAATCTAAAAAACACGACTTCAATATAAGTGGGTAGTAAGTCATATGAATAATACTTCGTATATGATATATGAAATACATTCAACATGATAAAATAAAATTTACCAAAACACTACCTATTAGTACAAACTTTAGTGCATTAGAAACTATTTTATATCTGCAAACTAAGTGCACTGATCGTGATCAAAGTAGACAAAATATCAAATCACTGAAATCAACAATAGCTTAGTTATTCAATGTTCTGGAGACAATCTAAACAACCTTACCCGTAGTCATTATACTTCATCCACACTCCTAACCCAACAACACATACTAGCTCTAGTCATATCAAATTGCCCATTTATTTAAAACCAAAAAAAGTCTTATAAGCTACCCATTTAGCAGAATACTAGTGTGATTTCATAGGATTTAATATTATAAGTAAATAATTAGAATTGTATACTCGAAATTATTGTAAATATAAATAAATCAAAATTAGGGCTAACCTTTCAATCAAGAGAAAGAGTGGTGAATTGAATTCCCGCACATGGAGGCTCGGTCGACGGTAGGAGTGTAAATAATCCGAGCAGAACCGAGTGCTACCTTGTTCATGTTCAAATTCATTTAACTTAAGTGAATTCGAGCACAATCCCTAGCTTTCAAGCGAGCTCAAAAATATGTTCAAACTCGGATCATTTAGTACATTATATGTTCAAAATGAGTTGATAAACGACCGTTTCATGAACGAGCTTTATAATAAACGAGCTTCTCTAATAAACGAGCTATGTATTTTTGACATTTGAAAATCTCAAAATTAGCATAATAATTAAAATTATAAACTTAAGAATTAAAATTAACAATAATTGGGAATAAATTAATAATTCATGAACATAAATAAACGAGTAGCTCGTGAAAATAATTAAACGAGTTGTTCGTGAACTTATCTGAACGAGCATATCTATATTTGTGTTTAAGCTCATTTATTAAACGAGCTTCAAAATTTGTTCAACCTCAGCTCATTTATTAAATAAACGAACATAAACAACTTCAACTGAGCTCGAACCCGAGTTGTTTATTGATCGGCTCAGTTCATTTACACCCCTAGTCGACGGCGGCGACAATAGTAGGTGGTAGGTAGCCGGTGATTAATCCTCCAGCGGCAATTTGGAGTAGTAGGTAGAGCTTTTTTTATCACTAGTAGGTGGTATGGGGTTGTAATTTTATCACTGAAGAAATATAGGAGTGTCGTGCTTTTTTTTGCTTTGGAGGAAGATGAAGACTTCATATAATACAATTCTCCAAGTTGTTAGTGTATATTTTAATTGAAAACCGCTACTAACCTATTTTAATAAATAAACTGCTAATTTCAGTAGCAGTTCTTTTATTAAAAATCCGCTATTATTATCAGCGGCTTTTAGCTTCGGATAACTGGAAAAAAAATACAAATCTCCACTAATCCTACATGTGCGATATTACGGGAAATAGTTTTAAAATTGACATATATACGGAATTAATTTTCAATTTAGCATTATCTATAGAAATCGCTCAATATAAAGTTTTCAATATCTGATATCAAAAGTTTATTACTCCGTGCTTGTATATGATATTAGAGGTTTATTATCTGATAGTAACTTTTTTAAAATTGATGTTAAAGCCCACATTACCTAACATCATACTACGTCATCATCCTAAAGACCAAATATTCTCTAGTAAGATCAAACCCATTATTTTCCTTCAAAATCAGTCTGCCAAACCCAGACTCTTAGATGCTTCTTCAAAATCATACTACATTTGGGTAATAAATCGGAGAATAGCATTAACGTCAAACTAGGTTATGAATTTACATTGGCACCGCCTCTTCTTCAAGGGTCATTTCGAAATCCTCGTTGTCCTTGTTTAATTCATCTCCATCGATCGTTTTCGCTGTCGCGGTTCATGTGGACGGACTCACGGTGAGTAAGTTCTACTCAATACTTTATCTAAAATTTTATGGAAAAATGATAATTTAATAATCCAACATTTGCTCCATCTTCCATAAACAATCCTACCTTTTGAAATTCCAGGAACAATCCCACCTTTTACCCTAATCTTCCTTTAACAATCCCTTTTACCTATAACTAGTTAAACCGGTCAAATATTTTTATTTTTTATTTTTTTTTATTGAATTCATCTCCTCCCACCTCCTTCCATGTCACCACAGTACCACTGAAGTGTCACCCCACCAAATCAAGACAAGTGGTAAAGTCCATAATCAAACACAATTTATTAATGGACACAATAAACAAAAATTAGCAAAAGTGTAGAAACTATGTCATGGCAAGTCACCTAGCAATTAACCACATATAAACAATTTTAATCTCAATACAGTCACCAAGATGAGTTGAACTACCCTATTAGTTAGTTTCAAATTCTAAATCAAACTCCAAATTGCAAGACAAAACATATATAATAATAAACCTTGCATAAAAGGGCATATACATACGCAACATATTATGTAAAGTTATAATTTAACGATAACAAAATAATTGAGATGGAACTTCCCCAACATCGAGGACATGTCCGATCGCCCTTTGTCATATTTATAGTGGATCTCCTTGAATATCGAACAATTAATGGTCACGATAATTTTGATTTCAAATACTTTCTCGGCTTCAATCAAACTAGCGTACGCCACACAGATTCTTGATGTAAATATTGAGTTAATTAGTTTACCTAATTTGATTGTTACTTCACACAGCACGAACGCACGATTCTTTAATCATATAATAATTATAAAGCTATGGTGCTAATAATGTGTTATAAAATAGAGAGAATTGAGAGAATATAATCGATCAATTATTCCATAGAGTAGGGTATACATATATTTAAGGTTTGATGATACAAGGATTATAATGGGCATCAACACAATATTTCATGACTGGAAAGAAGTAAAAGAAGAAAAAGAGAAGAAAAATGAAAAGAAAAGAAAGAAATACTTACAATAAACCTGATATTTGGTCTTGTGTGGCAAATTTTTGGGATGTAGAGAGGTATTTATAGAATAGAGAATGAAGAGTAAGGTTGAGCTTAATAAATAAGTGGGCTTAAGTTATGAAATATTTGACCCACAAGGGTTCAAATTATGAAATTGGGCCTATTTAAATGAAATAGGGTAAGTCCAATATGAGTATGTAGGAATAGTTTACATACAATTAATTAACAAATCAAAATAAATTATAAACGTTTAATCCAAAATAAAATTTACTTTTATAAAACTTTATAATTAAAACACTTTAACCCTTTAAAATATTTAATTAAAATACTTGAGCCTTTAAAAATTTGTTTAATAGATAACTAAATAATTTATAAAATACATGAATATACGGGTATTATATTTTATGTACTATACTATGTTTTTTGAATCAATCTATGTACTATAGTAAGATTACAGTCTATTACGGAGTAATATTAATATAGATTTTGTTTATATAGCACCCGTTTATAGCACCTATATAATATTTCTATGATATATTTTAGTAAACAATCATACTAATTTTATATGATTATAGGAATCTTTGGATTAACGTTAAAAACATTTATTGCATTTCTTTTTTTCGTTTTTTTTTTTTGTAAGGAATTTAATATTTGTGATTTTTTTTTATGTACAATTTAATTGACATTACAATGTTGAATTTTATTACTATTTACAAGTAAATATGACACATGCCCTTTTTGAAAAAAATAAAAAAATAAAAAAATTACACTATATGAAATTATATTGTCAAACCACATTATTTTTTATAAACCGAGATCTTAGGCAGGATATAAATCATCACCAATAATATAATTTGCATATCTTGACTGTATTTTCCATAATAGTATGGATTGAAATTTACAGTCATATCGGTAAATATCCACTAACGTATTAATTCAATATGATTTTTTTAGGATTGCATTAATTTTATTATTGCGGAAGATCAGATTGATTTTATGTATTATGATTTTTTTATACCAGCAAGCTAAAATACTTTTTTGTTATATTAAGTGTATAATTGATGTAAACATTAATTGTTAGATAATTCCTATTTTTTGTATACGTATAGTGGTAACTGGTAAGTCTACACACGTGCTTTTACATCCATTGTTTAAGTATGTATTTGATGTAAATGTTTGTTGTCAAATATATAGGAAATTGTATTAAACAATAATCGATCACAAAATCAATAGATGTATTAATTACTATATTAAAAATAAAAGTGCATAGTTATATCGTAGTAATGTTTTGTATTACACTTTAATAATTATTATTTTATTTAAATTTTTCTGTTGTTTAGAGAGTCGCAATGATATGTGATGAAAATCGATCTTATAATCCTCTGGAAATAGGAAGGTAACTTTAACTAACTGAGCTATTTTTTTAATGGTACTAATAACTATCATTTTTGTGTTAATGTGATTTTTTTTTTTTTTGGTATAAAAAATTGAAAGGTTTCGAAAAATATATTAAGTTCAATTTAAAAGTTATGATTAAGATACATGTTTGATCAAATAAGGAGGTGATGAGGCATGTATTATAAGTGGATGTAAATACCATGAAAATAAAGTGAAGGCACTAGTAGAGAAATGCTCATTTGCGTCGCACTTTTAGAGTGTATTTGCGTCGGTTCTAGTGCGAAGCAAGTGTTCGCGTCATTGGTGCGACGCAAATAACTCTTATTTGCATCGAACTTTTATAAAAGTGCGAAGCAAATGATAATTATTTGTGTTGCTTATTTACAAAAAACGAGTGTTATTTGCGTCTTTTTTTAATAAAAACGCGACGCAAATAGTGTTAAATGGTGAAGCGAATTCTAGTTATTTGCATCGCTTTTTTACAATATTGTGACGCAAATGAATCTTGTTTGACAAATTCAAAAGCGAATTATTTGCGTTGCTTGCTTGTTTAATGATCAGCGATGCAAATGATATATAAATATATTATATGATACAAAATAAAAAGTAAGAAGCAATAATAAAGAATTCAAATATAAATTTTGGCAGAGTTTCCTTTGTAATTTGGCCTACCCATAAAATTGGGAATGACGGCAGCATATCAAAAACCTGTCCAATAAATTTACAACTCAATTCCATTGACATTATAGTCATCATTCAACACAACCACCAAAACCAACCCAAATTGTTGGTAAACAAAATATATACATTCATGTCAATCCTAACAAATAGAACAAGAGTCTAACAAGTAAATGGAGTTTTGTAAGTGTAGATCTAAAGTTCAACATTGCATACAAAATAGTCTGCCCAAATATCTCGAACCTCGTTTATCTCCTCATTTGTGTACGGTGTAGATCTTGAAAAATCCTATTAGCAGAACACAAACAAAAGATCAGTGCAAAAGTTTAATCCAAGTGTAAGTACTTCAAATTGTATTTATTAAGTAAAAATGAAATATTTGACACCTCATACCGTAATAAGGTCCTCACTATTATGATGATATTGCATTATTTCGAACATATAACGCGTGACGTAATAGCCACATTCACGTCCACCTAATTGTTGAGGACACTACATACATTATAACAATTAGTTCAATTTAATTGCTATACATAACATTATTAAGAAAGTATATTTTGGGTAAGGAATTAAGTTAAACCTGTCCCAAATGCCATGTCAATTTACTTCCCTTAGATTGTCCACCTAGTGTCTTGTAATTTCGAAAAGCACTACACATTTGAAATAAATAACATATTTGTGCAAATTATATAAAAGCATTAACCTTAAATTAATTCACATGACTCTATAAACAAACAAACTTACTTTGTCATTGGAAACTTAATTGCCAAATTTCGCTTTTGCCTCATAGAATCAAAGATGTAGACTTCACGCTTAGTCATGCATAATACCAGAAGAACCCAATGATTCCTACATAAATTAGACATAAATTTGTAAATAATTAAGTATTACCAACATTTTTTTGCAATGTTTAAATAGAAAAAAAGTTCTAATTTTATACTTTTCATAGTATGGGCATAAGATGAAGTGCTTTTTTTTTTTTGTTTTTCCATTGCATTTCTCATGTATAGTAGGACACGATCAGCATCACAACGCAAATAGGTGTCTGAAATCATCTCTGGACACATGAATCCAGTGGGAAACACATCGGCCGTATCGAGAGAATAATCACTCAAAGCCCTACATATATATCATGTAATAATATTAGAAATGGTAATAAACTAAAGTTTTTAGGAGGGTTGAAATTTGAATATCTTACATCATAAAAACTTGCAAAATTGAAATATTAAGCCACGCTCCCGTGAGAAGTTGATCGACATCTTCTCGTTTGATAATGATGTCCCTTTCAATTTCATAACTAAAGGTTCTTACATCACCGATCATCTTCATCACATTTTCATCTTCGGGTAATGAATATAAGAAATCATTCAAACACCTACACTTTTGAGTCAAGTTTTCCAACACAAAATCCACAAGAAAGGTTTTTTTGGATTGGTGTTGGATTCTTTTATTTCGTGACCACTATCAACCTCTTTTCTTTTGACTTGCACATTTTCTTTGGTCATTTCTCTATTCCCATCACTCTTGTTTGGGATGATTTCCTAATTAACAGTTAAGCAAGGGTGGTCTTCAGGAAGATGTCTATGATTATCAATGTATACGTGCTTGCCACAATTGTCTAGGCGCAATGCCTCCAAATCATCTTCACAAATGGGGCAAGGTTTTGTTCCCTTCACGGTGTACCCTAACAAATTCCCATAAGCTGGGAAATCATTTATTGTACAAAAAATCATGGCACGTAAAGTGAAATTGGTTTTACTATATGCATCATACATCGAGACACCTTCATTCCACAACAATTTCAAATCTTCAATGAGAGGCGCTAGATACACATCAATGTCATTCCCAGGTTGTTTAGGCCCAGATATTAAAAGGGACAACATAATGTATCTAGACTTCATGCATAACCAAGGAGGCAAATTGTAGATAGTTAGAAGAACCGGCCAAGTGCTATATTGGGTACTAAGTGTCCCAAATGGGTTCATTCCATCTGTACAAAGCCCAAGCCTCAGATTTTGATCTTCTTGACCAAAGACCTTGAACTTTCGATCAATGTTCCTCCATTGTGGAGAATCAGCTGGATGTCTCATTAACCCATCTTTCTTCCTCCCATCAGCATGCCATCTCAATAATTTTGCATTTTTTTCATCTGAGAAAAGTCGCCTAAATCTCGATATAATTGGAAGATACCACAATGCCTTAGCCGGAGTTCGTTTCTTACACAACTCACCATTATCATTCATCTTATAACAAGAAACTCCACACCTTGGACACTCATGCAAATCAACATGCTCATTTCGATACAACACACAATCATTAGGACATGCATGTATTTTTCACGTACCCCATACCAAGAGGGCACATAAGTTTCTTAGCCTGATATGTGGAGTTTGGAAGTTCATTCCCTTCTGGTAACATTTCTACTAAGGCTTCTAAAATCTGAGTTTGGAAGTTCATTCCCTTCTGGTAACTTTTCATGTTTTAGTTGTCCTAGCCTCAAATAAGTTTTAGTTGTTCTCTCTTCACTTTCTTGGATGTTAGTACAGAAGGCCAGAAGTGAATCAACATTCACCTTCAATACTTAAAAATCTAAATTGAGCATTCTCTTTTAAGTGCTAAATTTGCTCACGTGAGCAACTTTTCATAATAAGTCTACTGAAGATTGGTGACCTTTTGTCCTTTTAATGGCCAGGGCACAACATATAAAAGCAGCACCTTGTGTTATCCCATGCGAAGATAAAATCAGCAAGACACAAGAATATAATGTTCTAAACAAATATGTGGCATGCGAGAGAATTTTGGACATGGTATGCTTGCTTAATTGTTTGTTTGTATATGCTCAACTGGTTTGCTCTACCTTGAGGGGATAAAAATCATGTTTGCTCAGGAATATTTGTTTCTTCCTGTTATAGCTGAAAGACGGAATGGGCATTGAGGAATTGGAGATGCTAAGAGAGCTGCTAATCTTAGAGGGAATTATGTACCGCCCGAGTTCAATGGAAGACTTGATATCAGAATGTGAAACTGTTGGGTCAACTCTTATGTATAGAAGACCCTCCCTTTGTCAAACACTATTTGCCCACTCCATAATCTCTGACAGGAAAACATTGTTCAACAAAGACAAAACAATACCCAATTTCAATTCTCCCCAGTTCCAGGCTAATTAAATTTGGCCCCAAAAAAACCTAAATTCTGAAGCAAAGATTGAACAAAACAAAAATAATAATCAATTAAAAACGGAAAATTTGCTCGAATTCAATCAAAAAAACGGAAAATAACAATAAAAAAAAACCTAAATTCACGAAGCAAAGATTGAACAAAACAAAAATAACAATCAATTAAAAACGGAAAATTTGCTCGAATTCAATCAAAAAAACGGAAAATTACAATAAAAAAAAAAGCCTAAATTCACGAATTCGGTGCACAAGTTTAGGGATCGTTACCTGTGCGTTTATGCTCGAAAATTTGCTCGAAATTGTTGCTCGAAAATTCTTCTTATGCTGCTGCTGGGAACGAATGAAGGAGGTAGCTTAATTACCTTCGAATTTTTGCTCTAATTCGTGCCTTATGCTGCTGCTGGGAACGAAGGAAGGAGGTACTTAGAAAAGTTTTGGGAAAACGAAGAAAGTTAGAAAGGTTTTTTATTTTTGTTTTCAGTTTTGGAATTACACTATAGAAACGAAAATTATTCACAAAATCATTTGCGTCACTTGTTCCTAAAAGAGAGACGCAAATGACATTATTATTTGCGTCGCTCTTTTAGTAATAAGTGACGCAAATAACCTATATCAGTGTTCTGCGTTGCACTTTTAATAAATAAGCGACGCAAATAACTTAAACTGAACTTAAATTATATCATTTGCTTCGTTTGTTTCTACAAGCGACGCAAATGAGGCGACGCAAATGAGCATTTCTCTACTAGTGAGGCCAGGGTAAGGATTGTATAAGTGATGGGCGGGAGATCGAGTATTAACTAGGTGTGGATATCTTGGTGAATGAGGACTAAAAATATTATACCGGATTTTGTATTCGTTTGTATGGGAAATAGAATGAAATTATTTGTACTTTTCTATTGTAAATTAATTATTCTTCTAATGGGCACAACTTAGAAATTTGAAAAATCATGGGTACACCTTAGAAACTCGACTATCTTAGGGGCATAGCTTAGAAAAACCCTAAAATCAAATAATGCTTATAATAATTGACATCATGCAAACAATTAAGTTAGAGATAATGAGTCTAACAATCCTTCTAAAGCAACATTCCACTTTTCTATTTGGAAAATAAATTTAGGTATGTAGCCATAATGTAGGATAGGTTATCGGATGAGTAATTATAAGGTACGGTGGGTCTTGAAGCGGGTATTAGGTGATATTAAACAAAGTGGTGAGACAAGAGTTTAGATCTTAGCTTGTATCCTTTATAAGTGATAGACAAATATGAGAATTATGCATCATACGTTTATAATATTATGACATTGAATGAGTTTGATGACTTATTCATTCTATTTAGAAGATATGATGAAGAACCCTCATAGTGTAAAATAAATTATTTTTTTTAATGGATGGGATGCAAAATAAAGATGTTAAGTTTAAGTTGTTGTATGTAATTTGGATCATTTAAAAATAAGAGTAAAAAATTGTTTTAATAAGTACTTCGGCTATACATCATTTAATTATATCCTTTCAAGAGGTTCGTATCTAGAATATTTTAAGATTAACATTGAAAAGAATTTATGATGATTAATGTACTAATTTAAGGAAATTAAGTATTATTCTTATATTCAATTAATTTAAGATTTTACACGAAATAAAAATGAAGATTATTAGTAAACCGTGCATCGCACGGGTGCTATACTATTTCCTACTATTTCCGACAACTATTCAACTAACTTCAACACTTCTTCTTCACCGCCCAATGCTTTCGTGATTGCATTACGTCTTCGCATTGATTAGAATCAAAAAATAAAAGGTGGTGGTGGTGGTGGCCGGGGTCTTACTCTTGGTGGTAGTTTAGGTGATGTCGTGTGGTGGTCTGAATTTGTGGCTTAAAGGTGAGCATGGATGGGGAAGTAATAACAATTAAAATTAAGGGTAAGATGATCATTTACAATGTCAACCTAAGTAATATTTTGTCGTTAAATAGAAATTCAAATAAAACATTTGAAAAAGTAAAAAAGAGAAATATAAATAGGGGACCATTAGGTATAATGTGAGAGGGAGAAATATTATAAAATGTTAGTGGGGTTAAAAGAAAGAAAGAGAAATAATATACAACGTGAGTGGGGTTTCCAAATTTGGAAATTGGGCACTTAAATAAAAATGGTCGTTTTTGAAAAATGGGGCACTTCAGAAAACGGAGGGAATACTAATTCCAACGACTCCAAACCAAATACGGAGTAATATTTAACGAGAATTGAGTAACCTTATACGAAGTATACTACACTTTAAGATGCGGGCGTCGTTTAACTTTTCCTTTATAATCTCTCCGTATTTTTTCACTAGCTCCATTTATCCTAGGCACGTTTGCCGATGCCAACCTTTGATCAGAAATATTTTTTCTTATGTATAGATCATAAACATTTGTCAAAATAGGTCAAATCATAGTAGTTAATAGTAATAAAATCCGGAGGGAGTATCAGTATAATAGAGATACTCCCTCCGTACTTTATTACTTGCTCCATTTGTCTACGTGCGGAGTTTTTACGAGGAATAGTGAAAGTAATAAAATACTACTATGTAAAAATGGGGTTGGTTAAAGAATAAAAAATCTAAAAAGCAAAAGTCAGTGTAAGTGAAGAATAGAGAGAATATGAAGAATATTAAAATATGATGTGTGCAGATCACTAGTGGGAAGAAAATAGTAATATATTATTAAAAATTTCCAAATAAAGAAATGGAGCAAATAATAAACTACGGCCGTAAAAAGAAAGTGGAGTAAGTAATAAAATACTCGCGTATAGGGGTGTTAATCAAGCAAGTCGATCACGAGCAGAAGGTTACTCAACTCGTGCTTGTTAAGTTTCGAGTCAATCACGAGCTGCTCGATTAGAGGTGAAGGTCTCTTGAATTTCAAAAATTTGTTGATTATATTTTCTTTTTAGAAAAATTGTCAGAAAAAACCTTTTAAAGCAACTTTTTTTTGTTAGGAAAAACTTTATAAATTTTTTTTTGCAGCTTAAAACCTAATTGTAAATTATTTTTTTTGTTGAAAACAACCTAAAACCTCTAATCCATTCAATTAACCTCTAATTTTCCATTATTTATTCTAATTAACCATAACTTCTCACTTAACCATTTTATAACTAAATTAATTTATAAATTAAAAAATAAAACAGTAACCACCACCCCCACCACCAGCAAGCCACCCTCTCCCTGTCCCCTCCCGTGGCAGCAGCCCCCCCTCCCAGCCGCCGCCTAGATTCCCCCACCCCCGGCGACCCACCTCCACCGCCGATTAAATCCTCCTACCTTTCCCCTTTACCCTCGCCGCAACCATCCTCTTAAACCCTAACTCGAAAAACCCAGTACCC